ATAAATCAGTTAAATGACGAAAAATTAGGTGTCTATTTACTTGTGACCACTCAGTGTATATGGCACATTCCCCCCCCCTCCCCACTCACATATATATTGTATCTTAGGTTTCTTCAACATTGCATGCTAAATTTCAATTAACAATGTTAATTTTGTTTATTGCAGCGGACAGTTTCGCGTGATGATTTATTAAAACAAGCAGAAGTGGTTATGCAAGATTTAGGAAGTTCCAGAGCTTTATTGGAGATACAGTATGAAAATGAAGTAAGTCAAAGCTCAGTTGAAATCTCAGGAAAAATATACTTTGTTGTAATGTAGCTGTATTTTTTTTATAAAATAGTCAATATTTTATTGTAAAGATAAAATACATTTTTTCTGTAATAAAAGGTGGGAACAGGATTGGGACCAACACTGGAGTTTTATGCCCTTGTGTCAAAAGAGTTCCAGCGAGCTGATTCTGATTTGTGGCGAGGAGAAGCAGTAACTGTTAGTGATGGAAAAGGTATTTAGAAATAGTGTAAAAAAAATGCCTTTTTTTTAAAATAGCAATGAGACTCACCTTGCCTGTGACTTCCATGATCTAAAATTTAGTTTAGAAGTAGCTTTATTAGAACATTTATTTATTATTAGTTTCTAACCTTTTATGCAAAAGAAAAATAAATTTGGTGAATGTTTTTTGGAACTATATGTAATATCTCACTGACTGATGATTTTATTTTGAACAAGGTAATCCTTGTACATTTACAGTTATCTAACTAAGAGTAAGTGAACATTAACTAACAAAATATGTAGCATAAATATACTCCATTTAGTTAATGTTAGTAAATAAATAGTCAGGTGAATAATTGTTAAATGATTAAAATATAAAACAACTTGCTTAAATAACCTCAGTTTACATTCATTTTGCTTAATCCTAAAAACATATCATACGTTGTCAATTAACTATTAAGAGAAATCAGCCATGTTTTTTATGTCGGTATAAATGCTTTTGGTTGAGATTACAAATGTAACTGTATAACATGTCTTAAGCCTAAGAAGTTATTGTGTATTTACATCCTACCTTTTGTTTTTATTTTATTAAATTGTGGTTGTTTCTAAGTAAATAAACTATCATGCAAGTCTCATATAGAAAGTATACTTAGTATAACATTGAAAATATGTGTATGCATCTATAGATGATATTCAGTAAAGCACATTTGGAGGTTAATGATATTGTTTGCATCTACACTCAAGTTACTGATATTCATTAAAAAGTATGAAAAATGGGTGGAGTGGTTTTAAGGTTTCACACTATAGGCTTGTGAAAATGGTTTTGCTGATGAAAAATGATAAATAAAATGAAATAAACTATAATACTGCTGTTTTTTTATTATACATTTTATGGTATTTTTTCAAGAAAATGGAATTAAAGATTTTTTGCATGTACTATTTCATGTTTTTATTTTTATACTTTTGAGCTTCCTTACTCTGTTGGCTGACATTAGCACAATGGAAATATACCATTATTAGATTTGTAAATTCACATTTCATCACTTTATTAAACATTAACAACTGTTTCACCATAATATGGCATATAATTGTCAGTTGCATTTATACTTTCCACAGATATTCATGTACCTTTATACTTTGAAGTTTTAGTATTAGTCACTTTGTACATGTGTAACTGAATTCTAATTAATTTGCTACAAGTGATTTCTTTAAAACATTTCAGACGACATGTTCATGTAGAAATTTAACAGTTAAAAACTGAAAATTGTACAATTTTGTTTGTTTTCTAGAATTTTCTAAGTGCTGACCATAATT